CATAAAACTAAACTTAAAAGAAGTTAGAAAGATGAATTTGGGGTAAAGTGCAGTAAATTGAATTGTAGGAAACTAAATACATCAATGGAGATGTTCAAAACAAAATAACAAAAATCAGAGTTAAAACTAATGGCAGCATAGAGCTAAAGACTAAATTAGGAAAGCTGTTTGAGGAAACTGGATCTAAACTAAGACATTGCTTGTAAAACTAAAATGTAGATAGCGCTGGGCTAGTTGTGTGAAAGGCTGGTCCTCTTTGCTTGTTTCTTCTTTGCATCTTTATAGCAGTAAACACCCTTGGCAGCATGCTTGGAAATCTGTGGCAGCAACTTGACAATCAACAGCAGCATGAAATCTGAAACAAACTGATTATTCTGTTGATTCTGCCAATTATTCTTCTGGAAGTTCGCAACAAACCAACAACCTTGCTGCAGTTGTGGAAATAACCACTCAACCTTATCCAGAGAGATTTACTCCAACAACTTTCAACTAATGAAATATCTACCAACATGGATGACACGTGGCATCATTATACTATTTTGCAAAAATGGGTGTAAACAATGCCTCCCAAAACTTGGTTGCACGACTTCATGGAAGTGGAATCAAGTTTTGAAAATTTTGTTCCTAGCACTCCTCACCATGTGGCCATTGTAAAGGAAGCATGATGTCTCCAAGAACGTAGAAATTTGATATTGTTGTTTTCTTCGGCATAGCATGAAATATCATCTGGCAGACATGGCTAACAGACACAGTGGCTTCATAGATAAATAAGCCAGCTAAAAGTGTATCTGCAAAAAATGTAAAATATAGCCTCCAAAAAGAACAATTCCATGAATTCCCTTGTTGGTTGACAATCCAGACTTTACCTGATTCAAAAAATAAATGGCTTACCTTTTCAGCCATGTTGTCCTTCGGTCTGTAAGTCATGCAATAGATCGAAGTGGAAATAATCTATTTGCCTAAGTCAGGTTTGGGTGGAGATCAGCTTTAATTTAATTTTTAATTTTCTATAATTAGTGTGAATAATCTTGTAGTTAAGCAGCTTTAAGGAAGGCTATGAGATGGCATTGCTTTTAAGACACTATGCTTTTTATGGAACAAAAACAAAACAAGATCTCAAGTTGCTTCGTGCAACAATTGGATTTTTGTAGCCGTTTTCCAAGCTTGGGTCTTGGGTGCAAGTGCGTAAGACCATCATGAAAATATCTGCGATTCAAACCAAGGTTTCTTTTCATCTTATATACTTAAAGAGGACTTTCCTCAAAAAAAAAAAGGACCGCTAGTGCTACTGCTACATGCACCATCTCATTGGTACCTTTATTTTTTCTTTTTCTTTTTAATTTTTTAAAATTAAAAAAATTTACACTTGGATCAATTAAACCCAAATGCTATCTACACTTGACAAATTGTGTGGGTTAGAGTTCCCAAGCACTGATTTTCATTGGTCACCCTATTTT